AAAAAGAGTTTAAAAAGAGTAGTGAGATATTTATTTACTTCTGAAGAGCTTATTTAGTTATCTCTCTCTTTCTCTTTAATTTGAAAAACAAAAATTATACCACCTCCTCCTATTTTGGTGGTAATGATCCTTTTTGCGGTTAAAACAAGAGATGCACGTAAGAGTAAACTAGCCGTTGGATATAACACGTGGCGAGTGTTGATTAGTAGAAGAAGTGAACGTGGGAGGTGCATGTGCTGACGTGGCGACATGGTCTTCGATTTGTGGATAGATTGGTTCCTTGGATTCCATGAACGTAGTAGTAAAAAGAGCAAAACAACTCTGAGTCTCTGACACTGTTTTGTTTTGTGTTCTTTCCCCAAACCCACGTGTGTTGTATGTATTAAATTCTTATCACCGACCTTAGATTTGTACTTTATGAAAAAAGAGGCTTTCTTAGAAAAGAGAACACATCACGTGGTGCGTCATGAAATTAAAAGAGAGATAATTACCGAGTCATTTATACACTAATTCAATTTTTTGGCACACTGAATATTACAGAAAGTTTGTGATATAGTAAATGACATATTGGAGTAGTTGTAACCGATCTTCATGGAGTAGATGTTGAACAATGCAAATATATAGCCTATTTTCATGATAATTAGTAGTAGAGGTTGGCAATTTTTTGTCTTCTTGTAGTTATTTCCATCTAAAAAATGTGGTTTAACTCACTCTATCCGGAATTATATGATCTGATAGATTTTTTTTTTTTTTATACCGTTCATGAATTGTGAGTATTTCCCTTCTAAAAAGTAAGTACATTGGCCACAAAGCAAAGATTCGAAAGCATAGACTAGGGAATATTTGCAAGGACATAAAACAAAGTATAATGATTTAGACCCAAAAAAGAAAAACGCATAATGATGAAGAATTTATTTGCCTTTTTCTGTTAAGAACATGTAACTAGTTTTCCATTGAGAAAGATAAGATGGTAAAATAGCGCAGGGCCTTGCTCAATAATTGAAGAGTTAAAACAATGTTCACAACTATAGTAAAAGAATGAATATACTTAACTCTAGATGGAGATAATAATGCATATATATATGCTTTTATATAACTTATCAACATACACAACGTTGTCATATTAAGCACTAAATATGGAGATAGAAATAGATCCAAAAGTCAGGATGTCATAAAAGATTTACATTAGTAGTTAATAACAAACCGGTGTTTCAAAACTTTTTCTACAAATTCATTTCAATGGTTTCACCGTAATCTAACTATCCCATATCCCAAAAAACCAAAAAGAAGAAGGAATAAGCAAAGAGATGATTTTGAAAATCAAGATCAAATCTCTCTAGCAATTTTCACTTCAACATGAGCATAATATGAGGTAGAGCGGGAATTAGAAGGAGGATAAAGATGACGATGAAGAGAATAATGGCGTAACAAGTCCATTTCCTCGAGCTCTTTTGGTACTCCCTCGCATCTTGGAGCTGATCAGTCCCTCTTCTCACAAACGAGCTCGCCTTTGCTACATGGCTCTCTATGTTGTTTAATTGTTGCCCTTGCGCTTCCACTAAAGCCGCCATGTCCAAGAAAACTTGGTGTAGCTCGAGTAGATTCTTCTCTATCTCCTTTACTGCATCATGTCTTTCTTGAATCTCAGATATAGTGTCTAAGATTTGACCTCTCCCTTGCTCTTGGATCGCTTTCTGGAGAAAGTTCTCGCTCTCACCGCTCGCAATCAAGTTATCGATTGTTTTTTCGTCCGCTTTTTCTCCAGTTATTGTGAAATACCTGTGCGGATTTCAACAAAATTACATAAACTTTCGACCCAAGGAAACATACAAAGTAATACCTTGCAGCAAAAGAAACCTAGGAAAAAAACAGAGACCTGCGCTCTACGGTTTCTTTATACTCATCGTTCATACGAGCACGTAGACCTTGGAAACTATCCATCAAGTCCTTGAGCTTCTTCCCGAGACCACTAACCACAGACGATCGAGTCCTATCGGTAGACGAACCGGGTCCACAACCCGGGACATTTCTGCTATTAGCGTTGGCCTTCTCTAGGGCTTCGAGCTTCTGCTTTATGATTTTGACCCTCTTAAGAACCATAGCTACGTCTCCATCCATCTTAGCTCGTAGCTCTTTCACCTTCTTGGCATTGTGCACCGTCTTGCATTCTTCGTTCGAGTCTTGAAGCTTCTTGTAAAGAGCCTCGACTCCTTTCATGTCATCCTTCACATTTTCGACATCCTCGAAGAATTTATCGAGGTTCATCGTTTCTTGACCTGCCTCGACATCGCCCAACTGAGCCTGGTTCTTCTTGAATGAATTTGAGAATAAATCATTCATTTTTACTCTGTTTTTTTTTTTTCTCTAGTTTTTCTTTTTAAAATATGTACAAAAGAAACTCTTGTTGTGTGTTTTTTTTTTCTTTTAAAGCTTTTCTTCAAAAGCAATTGATTTTAATGATCATCATCACCATCACCATCCTCTGTATGAGTACGAGGAAGAAGATGCATGAGAGGAAGTTTTTATTTTATTTTCTATGTGAAAAAGAAAAAAGTTTTAGTTTTGTTAGAAGGTTTATTTCGTTAAATGTTAGAATGAGAGTCACAGGTAGTTTTTGGTAATTGTTTAAAATTAGTCAGTGGCATAACTTTTTTTTCTTAACCAAATTAGCTCGCTTTGTTTTAAAGACGCTATTGCCCCTTATTGGGCCGAACATAAAGCCCAATTAAAATCCCAA